TGAGAGAGAATGAGAGAGAGCACATGAGAGGGGTTAGGGTCAGAGGGAGAAGCAGACTCCCTGCTGAGCAGGGAGCCCGATGCGGGACTCGACCCAGGGACTCCAGGATCATGACCTGAGCCGAAGGCAGTCGCTTAACCAACTGAGCCACCCAGGCGCCCGTCTCTCTCCATTTTTTGGCACTACTTTCCTATGTTTGACTTCATCTTCAGGTAGAATGTCCCATGTGATTGTTGTATCCACAATCTCATGTCTTCACAGCTCCTTTCATAGATTAGTGTTCCCTATGCAAATGGACAGCTTACCACCCCCGCCCTCCCTTCCTTCCCCCAGTGGTTCCAGCACAAGTCCTAGGAATAATGCTCACTGGTTGTTATTGGCCTTTGTCTATCATGTGCCCATTCTGAGGAGTCAGGTGCTCTTATTCACCTGGCCTGGGTCACATGTTAAACCTTGCAATCTAGGGGGTAGAATCATTCTCATCCAAAACATCACAGATGTGTGGTGGTTGCCTACAGGAAAATCTCAGAAGAAGGTGAAGTGGTTGATGAGCAGGTAATAAAACTAGATGTCTATTATAGTAACTCATCAGAGTGAAAGGTTGCTATGAGTCCTTTTAAAGATTTGTCTTTCCTCTTGGAGTTCATTGTTGACAAAATATTTCTTGTTAATTGCCTCAGTTTTCTTCTCTTGGGTTCTTTCTTTTATTCTTCTTGACTTTCTCAGTCTGGTTTATATCCTCACTATTTCCTGGAAAACTATCCTTATAAAGTAGCTAACTACTTCTTAGCATCTTCCTCTATGTCTCTTCGACCTGTCTGCTACAGTCAGTTACCCTCCTCATACGTATTCTGACTCTGCCTCCATCTTAATGGTCTTTTCCTATCTACTGATTCAGACCTTAATGTTAGTCTCACTTTTTCCCTCCTGTGCATGTTCTCTTCCCTAGTTTAATAGTTTCATTGACCATTATTATATAGATAGCTTGCAGTTAGTCTTTTTTTTTTTTTTTTTAAGTCTTCGTTTAAATTCCAGTTAACACACAGGGTAATATTAGTTTCAAGTATACAATATAGTGATTCAACAATTCCATACATCACCTGATGCTCATCACTGCAAGTGAACTCCTTAATCCCCATCACCTCTTTCGCTCACCCCCACCCACCTCCCCTCTGATAACCATCAGTTTGTTCTCTTTGGTTAAGAGTCTTGTTTCTTTGTCTTTCTCTTTACTGTTCCCTTTGCTCATTTGTTTTGCTTGTTAAATTCCACATATGAGTGAAATCATATGGTATTTGTCTTTCTCTGACTCATTTAGCTTAGCATAATACTCTCTAGCTCCATCCATGTTGTTCCAAATGGCAGAACTTTTTCCTTTTTTATGGCTGAGTCATACTCCATTGTGTATGTATACCACATCTTCTTTACCCATTCATCAGTTGATGGAGCAGTTATTCCTCTCTAGTTTTTACGTGTTATTCTCATTTTGAGAATTTTGTTTCATTGTATATTGTTCAAAGTGGATGTTATATTGTTACGTAAGATTCAGTTGTTCTCATCATCAAGAACTCATCATTTTACTTGCCTTCCTCACTTCCAGCCCTCAACCCGCCCCCCCAAAAAAACCACATTGCACTACTTTGATTTTTACTAATAGTACTAAACTCTTGCTATTTGCTCAAATTCAGGATGAAAATAACTTTAATGATCTTTGTTATCTAAATAAAGAATATTGGTCCCATAATGAACACATATCTCAGCACAAATGAGATCTTTCTTGTAGTAAGTGTATGGACATGTTTTATGTGTATGTATTAACACCCATTTATTTATAAAATTGATTATCTCCCCTAGATAATCTGATTTTAAAAATCCCATGTTGGTTTCCCTTGTAACCTGTGTAAAACATCATTAGTGAAGTGTATATAGTTGGCCTTTGAACAACATGGGTTTGAACTGTGTGGGTCCACTTAAATACATGGATTTTTTTCAATAAATGCGTATTTTATATTTTGATTGTAAAATAGGGTAGAATTTGCCAAATGACTAAAAGGAAAGGGAAGGTGGCGGAGAAATGCTGAGAAGGCTGAAACAGCAGGCTCTCACCTGCTTGTGGTACTCCTCACCCCACTACCTGTGCAGAGTTTGGTTCCCTGAGATCTTGAACAAAAAGTTGCGAAGGAACCGGCTCTGGAGAGGGATTCTCAGTGAGGTGCCAAGACCAGTCATTGTCCACAGTTGGCCAAGGACTGCAGAATGATAATCTGCATCCCCCCTCCACCCTCAGGGGTCCAGGAGAACACTTGGGGCAGGATAGCACCAGGTAGTAATGCGGGCTGTAAAGCCCAAGGCAGGAAGGAGCGCTGTCTGTGGTGCTGAAAGTTCTCTAAAGCAGAGAACTACTTCAGGGAGCAGCTTGCCAGCATTTCTCACAAGCAGAAACTGAGTTAGAACCATGTGGAGGGGTCAGGTGGAGAAAGCAACCTAGACAGAAGGATAACAGTGCTGTGCCTTCCCCAGTTCTCTGCCTTTCCCTGGACTCTGCTTGAAAATGAAGTTTCCCACATTCCTGGGTAGCTTTGCTAACTTTGGGTGGGGATGAGGAGATGTGTGGTGCCTTATTCTACTCCTGTACTGTACAGTAAATGTATTTTCTCTTCCTTATGATTTTCTTAATAACATTTTGTTTTCTGTGTCTTTATTGTAAGAATACAGTGCATAATACTTATAACACAAAACATGTTAATTGACTGTTTTTGTTATTGGCAAATGTTATGTTCTGGTCAACAATAGGCAATTAGTAATTAAGTTAGTTCTGGGGAGTGAAAAGTTATATGTGGATTTTGATTGCATCGGAGGTCAGCATTGTTCAAGGGTGAATTGTATACTGTAAAAGTTGGTCTGTTCTAAATGCAATGCCATGTTGCTGCTCTATTCCACTGGTGCTTAAATATGTACTTTGCGATTACAGTAGTAGTTAATTACATTTCCCTCTTGAGATTTAAAATCCTGGGGTCAACTATTTTGTCTTACCCATCTAGGGTTTATCATTTGGCTTTGTGAAGGGCACATAGGAAGCATGTAATAAACAATTAAATTAGTAACAGCAGTTACTGATTATTGCTGTGGTCCACATTCTGTAGGAAACACTTTATAAGCATTATTAAAATCATTTTTCACACCAACTATATGATTATTACCCCCACTAATAGATGAGCCTGTTTACTTAAAGAATTAAGTAACTTCAACAGTTGCACAACTGGGAAATGGCAGAGTTTGGACACAGGATTGAAGCCCTCATTCCTAAAAAGTATGTTATACATATTGTCTCCATATAAAAAAAAAAACTATATGAACAAATAAAACATCAGGAAAGCATATGAAGTTTTCATATTTCCTAACATTTTTCTTTAAATTAATGATTAGCTTTCCACCATGAGATGGGTAGGTAGAATTACCACAGAGAGACTTTTGTCCTTCAGTTTTGCTCTTTCTTACTGGGTCCAGTAAAAGAGTTAGAAATTAATTTTACTGTCTCAAATGAAACAATATGTGATATCTGTGCACATTCTTTGTAAAATTGTAAGATGCAGTTAGAGAATGGGCTTGTCAATGACCTGTGAGTCTCATTATTATGTCAAAGGACAGATGGGGTGAGTTGCTCGTGCATCTTCTTCTGACCTCCCTCAAGAGTCTTTCCTGATGTTGTGGCTGCTATCTAGTTGGTAACAGTATTCATACTGTACTTCTAGGCTCCACTGGGCTGTGAGATAGGCCAACAGAACTCTGTAATGTTAGGGTGATACTTAAGACACCTAATTTGCTCCTCTGAATGTGGACCCAAGTATGCTAGTCCGTATCTTAAGCCTCCCTTCTTTCTCTCCAGGGCTGGTAGTGCCACATTCAGTTCATGAATGGTAACTGTTTAATGTAAAGTGATAGCAGTAACATGGAGGAAAAAAGCTGTCTGATGTAATTGTCGCCAAAGGACATGGAGAAAAAAGGGAAAAAGTTTGTCTTCCAGAATAAATGATGGAAAAATTCACTAGCTCCAGTTCCTTTGTCTCAGTATAGCTGTCAAACCTGTAATACTCCTGTAACTCAGACCATCTTTCCAGCATTCCTTAAACATTGAGAATTATTTCTGCCACATCTGAACACTCTTCTAGTCAGAAACACAAACTGATTATGCTTTTTAATACTCACCTAGTGGCCTATGTGTTTACCGATAAAGTTCATATGAATGCTCAGTTTAGCCTTCAGAAAGTCTGTCATCCTCCTTTGCTTGTTGCACAGTGCTTTTAAAATTTCAGAACATCTTAGCACTGCACACATATACCTGCTTTCATTTCCAATTTAAATAGCAGTTATTTTCTCTAGATTGTTCATGGATGCTTTACACCCCTCCCCATTACCTCAAGATCCCTAATTAGGTGCTTCCAACTTTAAGTATTTGTTCTTTTGCAGCAAATAAAATACATCAGTCACTTACTATGCTGCAGGATATCTGTGTCTTTGTCTTTAGGTGAAGCATTGGAATTCTGCACTTTAGTATGTATTAAGATTGGAGGGGAGGGAAATTGAAAATAAAATATTGGGTCAAGTTTTAAGTTGACATAAAGTGTTCAAAATCTTGTGTATTTTCATTTTAGCATGCTCCTTTTGATGCAATGGCTATGGTAAACATCAGCCATTATGTTGATGAGAAGATTTTTGAGAATGAAGGAAGATGGAAGGTATGTTAGAAAAAATGTTTCATTTTTTTTCTTTTTTTTTTCCACTGTTCAAAATTTATTTGGTATTTTAGTTGGTATGACACTTAGGATAGTTGGTTGCATTGTCTTTTTACATTATATGGCCATGTACACTATATTCTGATATATATGGTACAGAAAATAAGATCCTTTAGAACAGTTACGCACAATACATGCAATACTGAATTTATACATTGGATCCCAGGACGTGACTGACCGGAAAAGATGGACTAGGCATGTGGGGTGTTGGGGGAAGGAACCAGAAGTGACAGAACACACAGTAAACACACATCTGGTGTGAAGAGCAACCGCAGCTCTGCATTACTGGCAGATGGTGGGGCTAACTTACGTTAACCAACTTAGGGCTACAAAGCCAGGTATCATCCAGCATCAGGATACAGCTGCAGGGTTTGGTGAACCATTCCTATTTGGAACTTTAGGAAACAGATGTTTTTTCTTAGGCCATTTTAATATTACTTGAGTAACAGATAGATAGTAAGGACAATACATACAACCTCCAACTAAAATCCTGTTGTGGTCTAGACAGTGAAGTGGAACATTATAAAACTTTAAAACTGCAGCTCCTTTTGGATACCCCAAAGTGTGTCTCCACTCTTCTTCAAACAGGCCTCCTCCTCAGGAGTCAGAGTCACCTTCACAACATCTGAAATTCCATTCTGTCCCAAGATGCAAGGAACACTAAGGAAGACATCATCTTTAATTCCATAGAGACCCTTAATCATGGGGGAAATTGGATGCACCCGCCTAAGATTCTTCATTATACTTTCTGCCAAATCTGCCACAGACAGTCCAATGGTCCAGGAAGTGTAGCCTTTCAGTTTGATCACCTCATAGGCACTGTCAACCACCTGTTTGTGAACCTCTTTCCACTGTTCCTTATCTGCATCAGTGCCTAAGTCAGGGTGCAGATTCTTCAGAGAGACACCAGCAATGTTCACTCCACTCCATACAGGCACACTGGAGTCTCCATGCTCCCCAAGGACCCACCCGTGACAGCTTAATGGGTGAACTCCCAGTCTTTCCCCCATTAGGTAATGGAACCAAGCTGAATCCAGATTGCAACCGCTTCCAATAACACGGTTTTTGGGAAAGCCACTTATCTTCCAAGCCACATAGGTCAAGATATCCACTGGATTGGAAACGACAAGCAACTTGCAGTTTGGGCTGTATTTTACGATATTAGGAATGATGAACTTAAAGATGTTCACGTTATGCTGGACCAAATTGAGACGGCTTTCTCCCTCTTGCTGATGTGCCCCAGCTGTGATAATAACCAGTTTGGAGTTTGCAGTCACATTATAATCTTTGCCAGAGACAATTTTTGGTGTTCTAAGGAAAAGGCTGCCATGCTGGAGATCCATCAGCTCTCCCTTCAGTTTGTCTTCCGTGACATCAAGAGCAAGTTCATCTGCCAAGTCCTTCATTAAGATACTGATGGCACAAGCCATGCCAACAGCACCAACCCCAACAACTGTAATCTTATTCTGGGGGGTATGTTCTTCCTTAAGAAGATTTTGAATCAGCTGATCTTTGAGAGTTGCCATTTTGGACTTAGAACCAAAAGGAATTGGGAGTGCATGTTCGGCGGGCGGGCATCAGACTTGGCGGCAGTGGCTCCGACACCCAGTTTTTTGTTGTTGTTGTTGTTGTTTTTTTTAAGATTTTATTTATTTATTTGAGACAGAGAGAATGAGAGACAGAGAGCATGAGAGGGAGGAGGGTCAGAGGGAGAAGCAGACTCCCTGCCGAGCAGGGAGCCCGATGCGGGACTCGATCCCGGGACTCCAGAATCATGACCTGAGCCGAAGGCAGTCGCTTAACCAACTGAGCCACCCAGGCGCCCCCAGTTTTTTTCCTTAATAGTCTTTTGATTTAACATTTTTAAGTCTTTTCTCTGTTTTTAGGGCTCAGAAAAAGTACGGGATCTATCACTTCCAGAGGAGCTTGTTTTCACTGTGGATGATAAAATACTAAACGACATTAATCAAGCTAAAGCCCAATATCTCAAGCAGGTAGATTTTTAACTTTTCTTTCTTAGATACTAATGCTTCTTCTTTTAACTACCACATAAAAATTTTGGCTATCATCCAAGCATGATAACATAAAACATTTTACTTATTTATTTTTAAAGATTTATTTATTTTAGAGAGCGAGAGCACAAGCATGGTGGGGGGTGGGTGGTGGCAGAAGGAGAAGGCGGAATAAGAATCTCAAGCAGACTCCCCGCTGAGCACGGACAGATATGGGGCTCGATCTCACGACCCTGTTATCATGACCTGGGCTGAAATCAAGAGTCTGATGCTTAACTGACTGGGCTCAGGTGCCCAAACAACATTAAAATATTTTAAATTATAGCTTTGATACCTTTAATTTTTTTATATGTAATGATTAATGCAAATGATGATTTGGTTATCTTTGGGGTGTTCTTCTTGGCTGATTTTTCACTTTTCCCATTTAATTTTTTTTGTTAGGCATCTGATCTGCAGGTTGTGGTGTATGCCTTTACATCTTTTGGCAAAAAGCTAACCAAGAAGAAGATGCTTCACCCTGATACATTTATTCAGCTTGGACTTCAGCTGGCCTATTATAGATTTTATGGACGGTGAGAACCACTCATTTTCCATTTTCAGAGTCTTGAAGTCCAAGGGTATATCTTTAGCATAGCTAGTCCATGCTCACTCCCCAGTCTTTTTCCTGACTTTTTTCCCAAGTGGCACCATGTCCTAATTTGGACTTCCATCATCAGTGTATTAGAGTTTTGATGTGTGACACTTTTACAGTCTTGTTTTTCATCACCTAAAGTGTCTGCTGTCTTCTAAGAGAGGTTTTACTGTTCTTTGGAATTCAAATCACTTGGTTTTCTTGTAGCCTCAGTTTCCTCATGGGTTCATGTTTTTATAGATTATCCAGTCTTTACTAATTTTTAGGATAGGAGAGATGGTATGTTGTGACTTTCTACATCCTAGGCAGAAGTAGAAGCTCCATGATCTTGCTTTTTAAATATCCAGTCTGAGAATACGTGTCTTTAAATGGGATATTTAGGTCATTTGCATTCAGTATAATTATCAGTAAGGTTGGGGTTAAGTCTACCGTATTGCTCTTTCTTTTCTTTTTACCATATCTGATTTTTGTTTTTTTTATCTTCTTTTGAACTCATAGTGTTTTTTTTTTTTAATTGTTCCATTCTATCTCCATTGTCAGGTGTACTCTTTTGTTTTGTTTCATTTTGTCTTTAGTAGTTGCACTGAGGTTTATAAAATACATCTTTAACTTACCCGATTAACTTACCCTAGTCTACCGTCAAGTAACATTTTCCACTTGAAGTGTAACATAAGAAACTTAAAACAGAATGCTTCTCCTGTTTTTTGTGCTGTTGTTGTTGTATGTTATACTTCTACATATGTAGTAAGCCTCACAATACACTGTTACTATTTGCATTAAGCAGTTGATTATCTTTTTTTTTCTTGTGATAAAATATATATAAAAGAAAACTTTCCATTTTAGCCATTTTTAAGTGTATAATCTAGTAGCATTAATTACATTCTCAGTGTTGTGCAACCATCACAACCGTCTATTTGCAAAATTTTTTCATTGCCCCATAGAGAAACTATATCCATTAAGCAGTAATTTCTTACTCCTCCTTTTGCCTCAGCCCCTGGTAATCTCTAATTTACTTTCACTGTCTCTGAACTTGCCTGTTCTAGATATTTCCTCTAGGTGGGATCATGCAATATTTGTCTTTTTGTCTTTGATTTATTTAACCTAGGATAATGTTTCCAAGGTTCATCCATATTGTAAAATAAGAACTTCATCCTTTTTTATGGCTAAATATTCCACTATGTAGATGTATCACATTTTCTTTACCCATTCGTCTGTTGATAGACACTTGTTTTATTTCCACCTTTTGGCTATTGTGAGTAAGGCTGTTGTAAACATTCACATACAAATATCTGAGTCCCTGTTTTAATTTCTTTTGAGTCTGTACCTAGGAGTGGGATTGCTGGGTTGTGTGATAATTCTTTTTCACTCTTTGAGCACCTGCCAAACTATTTTCCACCATGGCTGTACCATTTTACATTCCCACCAGCAGTATACAAAGGTTCCAGTTATTCCATATCCTTGCCAACACTTATTTTTTTCATTAAAAAAGTTATAACTGTTAGTTTTGAAGTAGTATCTCCTTGTGGTTTTTATTTGCATTTCCCTATTGACTGAGGTTGTGTATCTTTTCATATGTTGATTGGCCATTTGTATATCTCCTTTGGCAAACTGTCGATAAAAGTTCTTTGTGCTTTTGGTAATTGGGTTGTCATTTTGTTGTTGAATTGTAAGAGTTTTTTATGTATTCTGGATATGAAACCCTTATCAGATATGTGATTGGCAAGTATTTTCTCCCATTCTGTGGATTTTCTTTTCACTTTCTTGGTGGTATACTTTGCACAGTGATTTTAATTTTGAAGTACAGTTTATCTATTTTGCTTTCATTTGTTGCCTATGCTTTTGTTGTCATATTCAAGAAATCATTGCTAAATCCAATGTCATGAAGTTTTATTTATTTTTATTTTTTTTAAGATTTCATTTATTTGACAGAGAGATCGGGAAAGCACAAGCAGGGGGAGTGGCAGAGGGAGAGGGAGAAGCAAGCTCCCTGCTGAGTGGGTAGCCTGATGCGGGGCTCAATCGCAGGACCCTGAGATCATAACCTGAGCTGAAGGCTTAACTGACTGAGCTACCCAAGCACCCCGCAGTGTCATGAAGTTTTACCCTTATATTACCTTCTAGGAGTTTTATGGTTTTAGCTCTTTATATCTTTGATATGTTTTTTTCTTTCTCTTTTAGAGAGAGAGCAAGAGTACAAGCAGTGGGGGAGGTGGAGGAGCAGAGGGAGTGGAAGAGAGAGAATCTTAAGCAGACTCCATGCCTAGCATGGAGCCCAATGCGGGGCTTGATCTCATGACTCTGAGATCATGAGCTGAGCCAAAATCAGGAGTCGAACACTTAGCTGACTAAGCCACCCAGGCACCTATCTTTGATACTATTTGAATTAATTTTTGTGTATAGTGTGTGGTAAGGGTCCAACTTCATTCTTTTGCTAGTGGATATCCAGTTTTCCTGGCATCATTTTTTTTTTAATTTTGTTATTTTAAAATTTATTATGTTAATCACCATACATACACCATTTTGATGTAGTGTTCCATGATTCATTGTTTGTGTATAATACCCAGTGGTCCGTTCAATATGTGCCCTCTTTAATACCCATCACCAGGCTAACCCTCCTGGCATTATTTTTTGAAGAGACTGTTCATTGAATGGTCTAGATGTTCTTGTTTAAAATCAGTTGATTATAGATGTAAAGATTTATTTCTGGGCTTTCAATTCTATTCATTGGTCTATATGTCTCTTCTTGTGTCAGTACCATACTATTTTGATTATTGTATCTTTGTAGTAAGTTTTGAAATCCAAAAGTGTGTGTCCTTCACCTATGTTCTTCTTTTCAAGATTGTTTTGGCTATGAATTTTAGGATTCGTTTTTCCATTTTTGCAGAAATGTTGGAATTTTGAATCTCTAGACTGCTTTGGGTAGCATTGTCACCTTAATGATAAATAGTCTCCAATCCAAGAACACAGAGCCCTGTTCCATTTATGTTTTTTAAAATTTCTTTAAGCAGTGTTTTGTAGTTTCCAGTGTATAGTGTTTTTGCTTCTTTGGTTAAGTTTAAGCTTGAGAATTTTATTCTTTTTTATGCTGTTGTAAATGGAATTGTTTTCTTAATTTTCTTTTCAGGTCATTCATTGCTAGTGTATGGAAATGCAGCTGATTTTTGTGTGTTGGTTTTGTGTCTTTAAGCTTTGTTGAATTTGTTTATTCTAATAGTATTTTGTAGAGTTGGGATCAAATCATCTGTCAATAGAGATAGTTTTGCTTTTTTCTTTCCAATTTGGATGCCTTTTATTTCTTTTGGCTTGAACACCCAATAGTACGCTGAATTATCCTTGTCATATTACTTACTTTAGGTGGAAAGTTTTTAGTCTTTTACAATTGAGTATGATGTTAGCTGTGAGTTTTTCATAGATATCCTTTATCATGTTGAGGAAGTTTATTTCTATACCCAGTATATTGAGTGTTTTTATTATGGGGGAGTGTTGGATTTTGTCAAATGCTTTCCTGTGTCAAGGAGTATTACATTGATTTTCATTTGTTGAACCACCCTTGCATTCCTAGGATATATCCCATTTGGGCATGGTGTATTGTCCCTTTAATATCCTACTGAATTTGGTTTGTTAGTAATTTTTGCATCTTTATTTATAAAGGGATATTGGTCTATTGTGTCTTCTTGTAATATCTGATTTTTAAAGCTTTTATTTAAATTCCAATTAGTTAACACAGTGTGGTATTAGTTTCAGAATCAATTTAGTGATTCAGCACTTCCATACAACAGCTGGTGCTCATCACAGCAAGTGCACTCCTTAATCTCCATCACCTATTTGACCCATCCCCCATGTACTTCTCCTCTGGTAACCATCAGTTTGTTTTCTATAGTTAGAATCTGTTTCTTGGTTTGCCTCCTTCTCTTCTCCCACCCCCGACACTTTGCTTGTTTGTTTTGTTTCTTAAATTCTACATATGAGTGAAGTCATATGGTATTTGTCTTTCTCTGACTGACTGATTTAGCCTAATACTCTCTAGCTTCATCCAGGTCGTTGCAGATGGCAAGATTTCATTCTTTTTTATGGCTGAGTAATCTGTACATACCATATCTTTATCCATTCATCAGCCAATGGACATTTGGTCTGTTTCCATCATTTGGCTTTTGTAGATAATGCTGCTGTAAATATTGGGGTGTATGTGCCCCTTCAAATCACTGTGTTTGTGTCCTTTGGATAAATACCCAGTTGTGCGATTGCTGGATGGTAGGGTAGTTCTATTTTTAACTTTTTGAGCAACCTCCATACTGTTTTCCAGAGTGGCTGCACCAGTTTGCATTCCCACCAACACTGCAAGAGGGTTCCCCTTCTCCACATCCTCACCAACATCTATTGTTTCTTGTATTGTTGATGTTAGCCATTCTGACATGTGTGAGATGGTATCTCATTGTAGTTTTGTTTCCTTTTTCCCTGATGATGAGTGATGAGCATCTTTTCATGTGTCTGTTGGCCATCTGTATGTCTTCTTTGGAAAAATGTGTGTCTTTGTTTTTGGTATCAGGGTAATGCTGGCCTCACTATGAGTTAGGAAATGTTCCTTCCTTTTCAGTTTTTTGGAGGAATTTGAAAAGGATTGGTGTTAATTTTTTGAGTCTTAGAATTCATCAATGAAGTCATGTGGTCCAGGACTTTTGTTTGTTGGGAGGTTTTTTATTACATTTTCATTTCCTTACTTACAGTAGGTCCAGTCAGATTTCTGTTCTTTCTTGAGTCAGAGTTGGTAGTTGGTGTGTTTTGTCAGAATATGTCTATTTCATCTAGATTATCCAGTTTATTGGTATATGGTTGTTCATAGTATTCTCGTATCCTTTTTATTTCTGTAAAGGCAGTAATGCCCTCTCTTTCATAACTAATTTTAGTAATTGGAGTTTTCCCCCCTTTTTTTCTTAATCATTGTAGCTAAATGTCAGTTTTGTTGATCTTGTCAAAGAACCAAGTTTAGTTAACTTTTAATTTCTATATTTTGGTTATCTCTAGTCTTAATTATTTTCTTCCTTTTGCTAGCTTTGGTTCTACTTTGCTCTCCTTTTTTCCAGTTCCTTTTTTTTTTTTAAAGATTTTATTTATTTATTTGAGAGAGAGAGAATGAGAGCACGAGAGGGAAGAGGGTCAGAGGGAGAAGCAGACCCCCCGCTGAGCAGGGAGCCCGATGTGGGACTCGATCCTGGGACTCCAGGATCACGATCTGAGCCGAAGGCAGTCGCTTAACCAACTGAGCCACCCAGGCGCCCCTTTTTTCCAGTTCCTTAAGGTGTGCACTTAGTCTATTGATTTGTGATCCTTAAGGTGTGCACTTAGTCTATTGATTTGTGATTTTTTTTTTTTTTTCGAATGCAGTTATTTACAGCTATAAACTTCCCTTTGAACACTTTTCATCCTATAAGGTTTGGTAGGTTGCATTTTCATTTTCATTCATCTCAGGGCATTTTCTAATTTCCCTTGTGATTTCTCCCTTGACCAATTGGTTGTTCGTGTGTTGTTGGATGTCTTCGTATTTGTGAATCTTCCAGTTGTTCTTCTGTTACTGATTTCTGGCTTCATTCCATTGAAGAAGATACTTTGTATGATTTCAGTATTTTTAAATTTATTGAGACTTGTTTTGTGGCCTACTCAGTGGTCTTTCCTGGAAAGTGTTCCATGTACACTTGAGAAGAATTTGTATTCTTTTATGAAGTGGCATGTTCTTTATATGTCTGTTAGGTCTGGTTATTTATACTGTTGTTCAAGTGCTCTGTTTACTTATTGATCCCCTATCTACATGGGCTATCTCCATTATTATTATTATTTTTTAAATTTATTTGACACAGAGAGACACAGCGAGAGAGGGAACACAAACAGGGGGAGTGGGAGAGGGAGAAGCAGGCTTCCTGCCGAGCAGGAAGCCCGATGTGGGGCTCGATCCCAGGACCCTGGGATCATGACCTGAGCCGAAGGCAGACGGTTAACGACTGAGCCACCCAGGCTCCCCAGGCTATCTCCATTATTGAAAGTTGGATATTAAAGTCTCCAACTGCCATTGGAGTGCTGTCTGGTTGTCTCTTTAATTCTGCCAGTACTTCCATCATGTGTTTTAGGGCTCTTTTTAGGTGTATATATTTTTATAATTGTTATCTCTTCTTGATGAATTAAGCCTTTTATTAATATGTAATGTTCTGTTAGCCTCTTAACCCTATTGACTTAAAATCTATTTTGTCTGATAATATAGCCACTCCAACTCTTGTACTTACTATTTTTATGGAGTATCTTTTTTCGTCCTTTTACTTTTAACCTCTTAAAGTCTTTGTATCTATAGTGAATCTCTTGTAGATAGCATATAGATAGATTATGGGTTTTTTAATCCATCCTGTCAATCTCTGCCTTTGATTGAATAGTTTAATCTATTTACATTTAAAATAATTACTGATAAAGAGATATTTTTGTGCCACCTACCTATGTTTTCTGTAGGTCTTATTTGGTTTTTGTTTCTAAATTCTTCCACTACCTTTTTTTTTTAATTTGCTTGATTTTTTTTATAATGTACTATTTTGACTCCCCTCTTTTTCTTCACATTTTTAATCTATTTTATTCATGATTACCTTGGAGAATACAATTCATATTTTATATTTATAACAACCTTGTTTGAATAATAACAGCTTAGTAGTATACAAAACTCTGCTTCTGTACATCTCTGTACTCTTTATTTTGCCACAGATTACGTCTTTATACATTGCCCATTGATACAAGTTTATATTATTGTTTTATGCATTTGCCTTCTAAGTCAAATAAAAATAACTATTAAACATGTTGCTCTGTCTCGCATGTTTCCTATAAGCTCAGAGTTAGATCTAGACACTTGAGAGTAAGAATCAGTTATTTTTATTATTTTTTTTACCATAGTAAGTCAAATAATTAATGTCATTTGTTTTCTGTTTCATCCTGTTGAGATTAAGAGTGGATTTGTTAGCCAATGTCCATTATAAAGTTTCCTCCCTGAGTTTTTTACCTAATGGTTTTAGTAAGCATTGGTGATCATAACCAAGATCTATTTTTTTATTAGAGGTTATGGAGCAGTGATATTTTTACTTACTGCTTTTATTTTTAGTCTGTTTTTTTTTTTTAAAGAATGTTAGTGTTAAGTTTTTATTTACACTTTCTCCTTCGTACTTTAAAAGGATACTATTTCAGCTCAGGGAGACAGCCATATAGACACACTGGGCAGAAGAGGCTTAGTAATTCTGTTTGAGCCTTCTTATTGCCCATGTTCACATCTTTTCCTCTCATCCATTTGATCTCTTTAACTCTGAATTCCAACCACCAGGAATAAGAATGTTAAGTAAGAGAGCTCTATATCTAAAATCGTTTACATCATTCTTTAATCCAGGAAAACAGTCAGCACTCTTGGGAACTTCTTAGAGAATGCTTTTACTTCATTCTGTAGTCATTCATGTAGTGTATGAAGGAACTAAAGGCCAAGGACTCTGTATTATCTATTGCTGTGGAACAGTTACCACAAACTTAGTGGCAGAAAACAATAAATGTTATTTCATATTTTCTGTCTCACAGGAACCCAGGTGCAGGCTAGCTGGGTGCCTCTGACTTCAGGGCTCCTGAAGTCGTAGTTAGAGTGTCATTCAGCTCTTTTCTCATTTGAAGGTGCTCCTCAGAGGGGATCTGCTTCCAAGCTCTCCTGTGATTACCAGCAGAGATCAGTTCCTTTCAGGTTATTTTCCAGAGGCCTCCCTCAGTTTCTCACCATCCTGGCCTCTCTGTAGGGCACCTTCCAGCATGGCAGCTGGCTTTCCTCATGCTGAGAAAGTGAGACCAAGTAAGATCTCTCTTTGTAACCTAATTTCAGAAATGGTATCTTATCACTTTTGTCCTGTTCTTTTCATTAGAAGCAAATCACAAGGTCCATCTCATACTCAAACTGAGGAGTTACACAGAGTATCACTACCAGGAGGCAGGGATCACTGGGGTTGCATCTTGGAGGCCACCTGCCACAGACACACTGCTCTTACAGAACCTGACCCCAGCCAAGCATTTGAAACAGCCCGTATTGTACCAGGTCCTGTGGATCAGAGTACTTTTTTACTCTTGGATTACTGAAAGTAGTCTCTTTGTTATTGAATGTCTAAACAGTGGTCTGTAGTGTAGAACTTAGTCTCTGACCAAAGCCGGCTTTATTAGGTAAGCTTTCTTTGTAATAATATTTGAGCATTTTCTTTCTTATGACGTGTTCTTTTTTTTTTTTTCTTGTAGCCCTGGCAGCTGCTATGAGACTGCTATGACAAGGTATTTTTACCATGGCCGAACAGAGACTATGCGCACGTGTACAGTAGAAGCGCTCGGGTGGTGCCGGTCCATGCAGGATCCTTCTACTGGTGTGAGTATTGAAAGGAAAAAAATGCACAGTAATTATTTACTTCTTTAAAGGAATCTTAGTCCTTGAATAACTACTTCTCTGCTTCAGTTCCCCTGGATCAGTAAAATACTTGCAGATATTTGTCCCTCGAGTTTTCAAAGCATTCATTCATTTACCAGTGAAGTGTATACTTGGAAAGAATATGAAACAGGAAAGACCTGAGAAGAAGCCCCTTTGTGTCACTTTCTAGGCAAAGTATCTTTAATACCATGAATATTTTACTATTATTGATCTACCTTTAGAATAACACCAGTAAAGTGCAGACTGTCCCAAAGTGCCTTCAAAGGAAGCTTTTCTTGATATGGTTGAAAGTTTTTGAAATCACAGATTCTTGTTTTCATGTATTAGAACCAGAACAGTTGTGTTTTGTTTTATACTTTTTTAAAGCAGTCTCTGTACCCATTGTGGGGCTCAAACTCACAACCCTGGGATCAGAAATTGCATCCCTTACCAACCAAGCCAGCCAGGTGCCCCTGTCCTTTTTTTTTTTTTTTCTCCTTTTTAAACCATTTAAACAGTAGGGTAGTTCCTTCCCACTGCTGTTTTGGTGTCATATTTGTTCTTTAGTTTTGATAGACACGGTTATATATAGGTTCATTTATTTTAATATCATAGAACTGTTCCGTTACCGTTTTTGAACAGCTCTGTGTTAGTTTTGAAATCCTAGTTGCTTCTGTTTTGACACTTAACGAATATCACTTCAGTGCTGCCCACAAGTTCCTATTTTCCTTTCCTGGAAAGAAATCATCAAGATGAAGGACAATATAGGAAAGAAAAGGCAGTAGAAGTAAGGAAAATATATAGAAGCATGTGTCTTTCTTTTTTAAAAGATTTTATTTATTCATTTGACAGAGAGACACAGCGAGAGAGGGAACACAAGCAGGGGGAGTGGGAAAGGGAGAAGCAGGCTTCCCTCTGAGCAGGAAGCCTGATGTGGGACTCGATCCCAGGACCCCGGGATCATGACCTGAGCCGAAGGCAGACACTTAACAACTAAGCCACCCAGGCGCCCTAGAAGCATGTGTCTTAATATCTTTCTAGAAATCTTTTCTCTCTCAGATTACCCAAATTATGTTCAATTATGTTGAATTCAGGGTTTTTTAAATTTGGTTTCTTAATAGTTTACTGAAGTACGTCTTGATTTTTAACTCAGCTTTTTGAGCGGCAGCAGAAGATGTTACAAGCTTTTGCAAAACATAATAAAATGATGAAAGATTTTTCAGCTGGAAAAGGTACCTACATTGGAATTATTCTGACTTTAAAAAAATTGTCTCATGTTGAAAAATTTTTTATACCTTCATACTTGGGGTTTCATTGCAGGATTTGACCGTCATCTTTTAGGTCTTTTACTCATAGCAAAAGAGGAAGGTCTTCCTGTTCCAGAACTCTTTACAGACCCACTTTTCTCCAAAAGGTAATATAATGTAGTGTTTTATAACTTGATCCGTCAAATCCTTTTTTCTGATGATTAAAAGCTCTTCAGAAGCAATATAAGTTTCTGTCAGCCTAGTAAAATATCCTCTCTTTATGCCACACAGTGGAGGAGGTGGAAACTTTGTTCTCTCAACAAGTCTGATTGGTTATTTAAGAATCCTGGGAATGGTGGTTCCCATGGTCCACAATGGCTATGGATTTTTCTACCACATCAGAGATGACAGGTAAGGCTATTAGGTATTTAATGTATGTTTTTTTCGCTATCCTGTTTTTGGGACACTTGGTGAAATCAGTCCTTTAGGTGTTTTGTGCAGAACACCATTTAAAGTTGCTCAGTGACATACCATCATCATCCTCAGAACCCAGTACACATTTTAACATACTTGTTCTACCCAAGGTGTTTTATGCTAAGTTCAGATAAAATTTGATTGCCTATAAATATGTGGTGCTTCGTGTAGTCATAGATAGTACTGATGTGACCAAGAGACTAAGTAAATTAATTTATGTTCAAAAAAAGAATGTTTTTCCAATTCAGATGCACTTCATTTGTGTTGTATGAGGTTTGTGGAAAGAGAAAGAAAATACTGTAATTTGGTAGGTGGAGAACAAGATAATATGAAATTAGTAGAAAGGCTTGGAAGGTCCTCATTCACATAGTCCAGCCATCCCTTCTCAGAGGTCTTTGAGAGCTTGGGAGATGGTGGAAGGCATGACCTGTCCCAAGAGAGTTTCTGTCTGGCTTTTCTAGAAACATCTTCTCTCTCCTCTTACCCTTTCTCTATTTTTTTCTTTTT